TATTTATGTCCTTTCATCATGGAAATGTGGGCGGCGAAGCAGGTGTGTTATCCAAAGCATGTTTGGAATAGGTCGCACAAATATCTCGAGAAATTTTGGTATTTTTTGTATCCATTCGGAGGAGGATCATGTAAACTGAAACGTCAGAATTATGTTACGTTCAGCTCTGCGAGCTATTAGGCAGCAGAAGCTTGTATCTTAAACGAGATTTCGTAGGGTAGTGGCTCAACCTGGGCAAGGATCTAGGATGTGCTTAGTAATTCGATGGAAAAGAGGTGGCCTTTTTGTTGAAACCTTGCCGAGTACATGTTCATGTGCCAATGAATTTTGACAACATGATAACGCTTCTCAATGTTATACTCCTAGCCGGGCTTGTGACGCTGAACGGCCACAAGCCACAAAAGGGTCGCGCAGCATTTTCTTCGTACATTAGAACCGGAAAACTCTCGTGTGCCTTGATCGAGCCTTGAACCACTCAGCAGAAATTTACAAGTGTGCTTGTGTGTGTGTCACGAAATTCATAGCGCGCTTCGCTGCAACGATGGAACGCTGTAATTTTAGTATGATGTAGGGGTGGGACGGGAACATATTTGGTGGGGGTCAGAAAGTGATAACGACTGATAAGATCTGATAAGAGGCGCTAAACGCAAATTTCACGAAATTCATAGCGCGCGTCCCAGCAGCAGTTAGGCGTTGGTTCCAAGAAGTGATGTGGAGGGTGGGACGGGAACATATTTGGTGGGGACCGAATATGATAACAGCTGATAAGGGCTGATAAGGGCGCCGAAAGGCACGAGTCATCAAATGAATATCGCGTGTCACAGCAGCAATGAAGCGTTGGATTCGTCAAGTGATGTAGAGTGTGGGACGGGAACACATATTTGGTGGTGGACCGAGAATGATAATAGTTGATAAGCGCTGATAATAACAATGTAGGTACGCTTCAAACCTAATAGCAGATAAGAATCACTACCCATTTCATTTTTATTTCATTTGCGTTCCATCGTCAGCACCATACTCCCTTCGACCGCTACTTTGCCTAAATTTCCTGCGAATGTGTGTAGAGGCTGTCTGAAGAAATGCGATAATGATCAATGGGCATTTCTGTCTCAACATCATTAGCATCAAATATTATTCGACCGCTAAATCACCTGACATTCAATGCATGGTGGTTGTTTACATACACCACTTTAGCTCTGCACTCTATCGCGCGTATCAAGCGGTGAGCTTCAGCAGAAGTGGGGAGGCTATGAAAAGGTCGGCTAGGGTATTTCATGATGCAAATCAGCGTTGGGACAGCGGTTAGCTTTTTTAGCGGTGGGACATAACGTGCTGCTTAGTTTCACGGAAGCCTACCGCTTTATGTGCGCGGTAGCGTGCGGAGCTGAACTGGTTATGTATAATTCACTAAGTGTGTGTATATACGTCCGTCTCTCTGTCACGAAATTCATAGCATACGTCGCAGCTGCCGTCAGGAGTTGATTTCAAGCTATGATATAGAAAGAGGGACGGGAACAACTTCAACGGGTCTGACAACAACTGAAAAAGGCTGATAGGGGCATCAGAATGCAAATGCAACAGAATTAATTGCAGCGTCCCAGCAGCAGTGAGGCGTTGAATCCAATTTGTTGGGCGTTAGAAAGTGGAACTACTGATAAGAGCTGATAAGAGGCGCTGTGAAGCAATTCATGAATTTAGTAGCGCGTATCCTAGCAGCAGTCGGACGTTGGTTCTAAGAAGTGATGCACATAGCGGAATGGGAATACAGTAGCGGTCAAAAGTTTGGAAACTTTTTTATTTTTGATCTAGCGCGGCCGATACACAACGAAATTGTCCCAAATTTAGATATTCCATACAAAATCAAGTTCAGAATACGACGGGAAGAACAATTTCCAAAAACCTATAATCATATTTGAGAAATAAGATTTTTTCAAGTAATGGCGCGTCAAAAGTTTGGAAACTTTTTGTTTCCCTTATCATTATGATTCCTACTCTTCAATGTTTACTTGTTTCTGTTAATTTTAGTTAAACCATTGAGCAATGTGTAATTTCAAAATGAATTCATATGCAAAGGAAGCAGTTTTTCCATGGGAAGTCCTTTCTTGAACCCTACAATACGGAATACGAAATTGAAATGGTTTCTTAGTAGTTCAATCTCTAAGGAAGTAATAGCATCGAATGTTTCTGGCTTTGTTGGAGTCGAGCAAGCATAAGAAGAATGATCATTCACAAAAAAGTATCCTCACAAGAAAATTGGCCCTCCTCAAATACTTCGGAGGGTGGTTGGCACGTCCCGTGCCCCCGACATTCCCAAGTGAGAGACAACTTTTTCCAGTTTTCCTCTAATCATATTGAAGTCCAAGTGTAGCACAACATCGGCCGCGACCTGATGAATATTACGGATGGTATCCCAGCAAGTAGCCATTGTTGGGCTTCAAGAGCAGGATGGCCCAACTGGCTTCCGCACTCTATCGGCTAACATGAACCGGAGCCAAGAGGTGAAACTTTGTCCTCAGCGACGAATGAGATTTCTATCTTCCTAGAAATAATATGGTGGACCCTGTGAAGTGTTTTGTCAAATGGGAACCTCATTTTGAGTATGAGATTCCAACAGTCAGAAATAGTGGAAGTACTGTCATGGATGAACATGTGTCCGACCATTCGGCGATTCCACAGTTCTAGGTATCCAGCGAAATGTGGGTTGGGCTAAGTACAAGTATAGTCTGTAGAATACAATGCTTCCCTTCGATAGTCAGAACTAGCCGGAAAAGATGGGTTTTCTATTACGGAAATGACCCAATGCAGGCCTACCTCCTCACTGCCGCCTTCCTAAACCCAGAAAAAGAAGCTGTTATGAAGCGACCAAGTCAAGATCTGAAGTCTAATTGAGTTCTACATCCCACGGAAGAACTGGCATGTCGCTCAACCCACATTCCAGTTAAGAATCCCACCAAACAATGTGATTTAGTTCACAGTGTATGGGTTCGACTTAAAAATCCTAAAATTATTTTATAATCAACTCCATGTCAATAAAAACGACGCTAACATAGAAATTTAAAGCTACTCATCGAATAACTAATTTATCATGTGGATTTGAGAGCTATTTTGCCGAATTCGCTTTGGAATTCGGAAGTTTCCAAACTTTTGACGCGCCATTTCTTATAAAAATTCGTATTTTTCAAATGCGATTTCAGTTTTCAAAAAATCATGTTACCCATCGTAATCTACACTAGATTCTGTGAATTCGGGGCAATTTCATTGTCTATTGGCTACGCTAGATCAAAAATAAAAAAGTTTCCAAACTTTTGACCGCTACTGTATATTCGATGAGGGCAGAATGTGATAACGACTAATAAAAGCTGATAAGGAATGCTATAACGCAAATTTTACGAAGTTCACACCGGGTTTCCCGGCAGCAGTGAGGCATTGGTTCTACCAAGGGTGGGATGGGAACGTACTGATTTTGGTGGACGGAAAATGACGACTGATAAGGACTGATGATAAAGATATGCATCAGAACATAGAAGTCACTTGAAGCTAAATCATAGATAATTCATCTCATTTCAATATTAATTCTACGTCGTCAGGCTAAAATGCCTTCCCACCGTTACACTCCCCAGAATTACTCAAAATAAATAGGATTTTTCAGAAAAATAACAACATGTACTGGGTTCTTCCATTTAAACATCATAAGAAACTGTTCGACCGAAAAGGGACGAAATGAGGGAGTCCTCCGAACAAATATGACGTTCCGGGTGCTAACTGAATCGAGCCTAACGAAAAATAGCAGGGAGCTACCCCGAAAAAGTCAAAATAATGACCTCCTCTTCGTTAGTTACTTACAAGCCAGGGCTGGGAGGATTACGTGTCTGAACGTGTTCACAGCAGCTGCTGGCTCCATGCCAACAACCGACACGGCCATAAAAATCAGCAGTAGAAATCGATTTCTTATAATTTTCCCATTTTTCTACTCACTTCTGCCTTTTTGTTTGTGTGGCCTATTTTAAAAATTTGATTCTTCTTAGAACAAATGGAAAAGTTCCCGATAATGGCCATAACATTTGATGTTGAAGTTGGCAGTCGAAATCCGCAAAATATCCTCCTACGACCTTCCAAACAACGGCTTGACATCTAGTGTTCCAAGTGTTGTTTGGAAGGTCGCGTGGAACAGTGGGCGGGCTCAATGGGGTTGGGGCGGCGCCAGTGCTCCAACCTAGCCGCCGACCACATACAGTCGATATCTCGAAGTCTGATTGGGCGTGTCACCGGAAATGACGTGGCAGCCACCGCACTTGATAGAAGTTGCGCGGATAAGCTGCTTCCAACACGCTTTGCTGATATCTGGCGGAGTATTTTATCCACACAACATCTATCAAGTGCGGTGGCTGCCACGTCATTTCCGGTGACACGCCCAATCAGACTTCGAGATATCGAGGATGAACCTTGTCAAACCGCCCCCCCCCCTTCTGCACATGGTCCGCGCTTGCATACTGCTGCATATTTGACGGGGAAACTAATTTTCGACCAATTATCCCGAACTTTGCCTTTAACCGCACTTCACTGTGTTTATCGAACAGTGGGCTTCAGCTAGTAGAATGGGCGGGCTATGCAACGGCCAGTCTACGCATTCAATGAAGCAACTTGTTGTTAAGCGGTGGAACCTGACGGTCCTTCAGTTTCACCGAGTCCTCTGTCATGCGTGCGGTAATGTGCAGAGTTAGACTGGTTTTGTATAACACATTGATTGTGTGCGTAACTGCACTCGAGCGTCTCCGACGCACTGAAGTCATCGTTAGTGCTTGGTTTTTTAGACAATAACTGAGGTGAATCAAAATATTCCAATACACAGAAAGAAACAATCTTATTGAGATCTATAGCCTGGCAAGCACAATCAAACTCATCACATCATCGAAGTAGACATGAAGTTTCTAATCAGACCAAACAGATATGTCTTGAAATGCATCTTCTCAGATTTGTAGGGGCAAACTGCTTGCGAGATGTTATTCGTAGAAGAGCCGAACTCTCGATGTGCTCACGAGGAGATCGTCATCGTAGAACAAAGTCTCCACAACAACATTCCCGCTGAAAATCGAGCATTTTCATGAAGTTTACCGTCAACCACGTTTCCGTATGAAAATCCTCTGATGTCGTCGGTGTAGAAGGCTGTTGTGTAACTTTTGATAGATTAGAATGTGCTCTTTAATATCAGTTGGGCTCATTTGGTTTGGTTTCGCAATGTAATTCCGTTTTAAAGGTGGAGGGAAGTGGCTCTTTCCCCCTTGTATTTCTACATCCCTTCTATACAAGTCAAATCCCATCATAGTATCTGCTTTTGCACAAGATTGTGGTCTGGTAATCCTACATACATCCTACACAAACTCCTCAAATGAGAATGCAATCAAACCTGAGCAGTGATGCAGGAAGCATTTGTGATTCGGGAGCAGCCTCGATCAGCGTTTGCCACGTATTTGTCGAGTCAGGGATAACGAAACCAAATTCGAAAAACCACTCTGAAGTGTCCACATTCATACAATTGCCATGATGAATACAGTCGATATATTTGATTGAAGCCAATATATTTATTCGACATTAATTGACGTTCTCAAAAATTCGCGCAGAATTAGTCCACAATTGATGACGGCAATTCAATTAAATATGGATGCCAGACAAAGTTCAAGTTAAGTAATTGAATTTCTTTTGAATTTCTCAGACAAAATCTGCCATTTAGCCAGAATAGCCGGATGATGACAACATATTTGAGAGTGAGTTGATATATGCTATCATTGATAGCACAGAAACGAGGGGAATGCTTGCAGTTGCTAGACTGGGGGACCCAAAAAGAGGGCAGGATCAATAGTCACTTCAGATCACCGCCAACGATTTCAAGAATAGTAGGCAAAGAAGTGGTACTGCAGTGCACCAAGAGTCCACAGAACCTCTTGCAGGTTCACCTCTGCAAGGTGACATTACGGTAATTGAACGCTTAGAAACTTTTTTCAAGTTCCTCAAGAAGTCGGTCAGATATGGTCATCATAAATAGCTTATGTTACGTAAGTGACTAATTGTAAGATCGTAGGTTGAATGGCCTTTTCACACCTTTCACAAACAACCAACGAGTGTCCAACCATAAGTATCAATGAATAAAGAAAGTGGTCACGACAACTTCTGTGAGGGATGATAAGGAAAGTCATGCAGTGAACTGAGCAGGAGTACTACCCAATGGACGATAGGTGACACTTCAGCAGCAGTGGTGCCTTATCAACAGCGTGATAAGGCGCCAAACCCACCTCCGCACCACGACGAGTTGCAAAGGCAGCCTACTTGATATGATACTGTTATCGTTATCGTCCGACTTGGATTGCACTTCATTTCAGGCGGCCGTATCTTCCTGTCTTATCGCATCTATCTTTATGAGGTTACGCTCGTTCGGGCATTATCTATCTCAGCCCTTATCGGTTGATAACGCCCAGTATGCAGCTCTCTCGGAATCCCGCGTGATCAATCCTTTTAAGGAGGAATTCACGATAAGAACGAAGGTCAAAGAAGGGGAAAATTGCATAGTTGGGAGACAGGCGGACCTCCTGAGGGTGCTGACCGACGCGCAATTGGCAGCGAAAGATTTGACCTCGGCGATCTAGCATGGCTCACTCTTGGCGCGGTTGGCGGGGTACGCCCACCGACTATCTAATCACTCGCCGCAGGTCTATACGTGGCGAGTGATTAGATAGCAGAGAGAGAGAGCGTAGTGTTGAAGAGGGCACAGCGATGAGAGTCGCATCAATGCACAAATCAACGGGCAAATAAGGTACTCGGGTTTCGGGGGGCTTGACATAGTTTCATCCCTGCTCCACTACCCACCTCTGCCCTTGTTTCCAATGAGCTACCTTTTCATCGTAAAATCTGCCTTCAAAAGCGTTATGGGTTGTAAACCATTTCGACGCGAATCTGATCCATCTTGACGCTGAATATTTAGAAAAACAGGAGTGAGAGGAACAGAAAATTTTGGACATCACTTGATAGCAGTAAACGGTTTGTTGTTCTGCCCCGGTTTTTTTTAGTATCGCTAACCTAAATATTTGAAATGTTGCCATTCTAGGATTGCGCATCGACACATGAACTTTCTCCAAGTACGGTCATAGCTCACGCGATGTCACCTCTACGAATGAATAAGATATTTCGTCGCTAGACAACGACCATATTTATCGCATTTGGCCGTACTAGGCAACAAATTATTCAAATGTTCGTTCATCGACGAACGTTAACGATGTCAAGCTCACAATATTTTAACGTCTGGCCATATGTATAAATATTCGCGATGGCAGTGGCCATCGGATCCCTAACGCCTTTAATTTGTATGGCACACATCAAGGGAAAAATAGCCTTCCTCAATCATGGGCTAATCCCTCCTGTGCTGTGCTATACAATATATTTAGTCACACTTTCCAGCGCTCTAGTGCATTAAGTCCTACGCCGTAAAGCTTCCTCATGACTTTTTCAGTGAGGAAATTTTGTAAATTAATAAATGCAAACATGGGCAAGCATCAGATTGAAACGGTTGGACGCATGGATTTAAAAATAAGGGTAAATAACAGATCTCACCTTCAATGATGTTCTCCTTGAGAAATACTCGCTGCTCCAGACGAAATTTATCGATTTTCTCGCTGGACGTGAAATTGATTTCCCGGGATACGGTGCGACATTTGAGTATGCTCTTGGGAACGTGGGCTAAATCGCTGGTAAGCTAGGCAAATGCTATCGAAACGGCGACGACTAAAAACCAACCTTCATGCTCGTGATGAGGGTCTGCCATATCTTCGGTGCTTTGCCATAGAATTCGCCCGCTTTCGGCATCGCGTAAATTCATCCAATTTCTGAATTATTGATCATTTTATCAAAACTGAAATCCTGTTGGTCAGGGTGCCAATCTAATCACATAAATGAGTTAAAATTATGCTGCTTGTCTGTAAGGTGCAGATGATATAAGAGCTTGATTATTATATTTCACTCTGCACCTGAGTTTGAGGGTTGGTCGAGAAGTGCCAGCCATCTGGACAATAGGCAAGGGATAAAAGATATAAGGTCACTAACACTAGTAGTTTTCGGGGGTAGAAGTGTGAACGGCTGGGAAAGGAAGGAAGGCCTCCCATGTTTCCAATTAGGTCGTGTACTATTCAAAAGCGATCCATCTGCTTGTAAGGAAGTGTGTTTCAAAAGAATGCTTACTATGAAATGGGGCAAAGCTTTCGCCCCAGCCGGGATTCGTACCCGGATCTCTTGTTTTCCGGGTAATTCTGCTAACTAAGCTGAGTTTGGATGAAATGGTGATATGGTGGTGTGATGGGTACCGCATTGTCCGGAAAGCAAGAGATCCAGGTAAGTGCCCGGCTGGATCGAAAGTTTTGCCCACAAGTCTGCATTCTTGTGACAACTTTCGCAACGCAAACTGTGGCGTAAGACTGCATTTATCCAATAAAAGGCAGTATGTCGCTTGTACATTCAACCTTGTGGAAGGTCAATGTCAGGCCTGCGAAATAGAAGGGTGAGCCGACAAAAAATTAAGCGATAACCAGAGAAAGGTCAACTTGCATAAGAATGAAACGAAAATGTCGTCCTTTCTTAAAATCCCGTCATTCCGCTGAAGCTCAATAGTTGACCGCTGTCCTCGAATTTATTCCAAGTTTTGAACCCTGAGGCATTGAAGAACAGATATGGTTCAGAAATAGTCATAACTATAACAGCTGCGGGAAACATCTGCGACTGAATTTCCTCCTTTTTTGCACAAGAAAAATTGAAGAAGTGTCGTCATTCTCATCGACTGAACAATTTATCACGTAAGCCTAAATGTCTACCAAATTCATAACGAAATCAAAAAATAAACCCCAATCCAACTGGAACAGAAAAGTGTCCCGAATCATGTTTGAAAATATCGAAAAGCATAGTTTCAAATGGATAATCCTAGTTTCAAAAAACCATAACGGCTTGGCGGCAGCCAAAGAACCCGAATTTTGAAAGAGAATGACACGGCCTGTTCGATAGCAGAATGTCAAGAAGCCGTGAGTTAGTTCGACGCATACCACTGATTATTTCCATAGTTTTTAAACTGCAGTAGTTGCTAAATCTCTCCTGACTGTTTTATGGCCTGGTTTGTCTGTGAATAGAAAAAAGAAAAAAAACTACATGATCTCTTGGACAACCTAATACCAACTGAAGAACAGGAGAAAATAGGAGACAGTCCGGGAAGAGGGTACCACGTTGTTCTGCAAAAAAACTTCATATAGGTTCTCCGACCTGGTACGCGGTTTGGCACTGTTACTTCTTTCTCAATCCCTTCCTTTTTGAAATGCGCCGTGCACTCTACTTTCACTCAGGGGCCCTAGGGCGTGAGCGAGGAAAATGGTGCTAACCGAACTCACGGGTGCGCATGTGCCCAAGGATCGCACTTGTTCCGAAGTAAGGTGAATAGAAAAAAGGCGTGAAACAAGGGTGCAGCAAAAATGGGCGCACAAAAAGAAAAAAAGAAAGAAGAAAAAAGAAACAGAAATCATTGACAAAGGAGCTAGCGGGATCAGAAAGAAAATCAGCAAAATTCCGAAGAGATAAACAGAGCCAATGGTGAATTCCCCATCAAAAGTCCTCTTGTCTAGGTCACATTTTCTTCTTTCAAGTCTCACCATAACAGCGTTTGCCCAAATCCAAATTGGGACGAAGTTACGTAAAATATTATAGAAACCCAAAAAAAGAAACATCGCTGTTTCAGTTGCCGGATCTTCTGTGTTCTGCCCCCTTACACTCTCACTGTTACATGAAAGATTTCATGCACAGCTCTCCTCTTGTGGTGATCTCAATTGAACTTACAGAAAACACACGGATACACCAGTTTGTATAATAATTTTGATCACAACACGTTGTTACTGTGTAAAATTACTGAAAAATTCAACCAATAATTCTATAAATAATTTGGTTTATGTCGGAATAGAGACCGTTTTCTAATCCGAATAAACTCACAATTTGAAGCCGTTCAGAATATGATCAGCTTTTTCGTTTAACACGTCCCGTGGATCTCGTGGAGCAGCGGCGAGCATTTCTGTAACAGAAAACATTGTAGGTTTCAAGGCTTTTGTTGCACCGATGAGGTTTTTAGATAAGAGATTCATCACTCGCTCTTTTTCCACCCGCGGTTAAGGCATTGGCGATCTTTCCTCTCTTTTTTGAAATTCCTTTTGCTTTTTCTGACCACAAGGCCTTATCAGAAATTCTGAGGAAAAGAGGCGTTCGAAAGCAACCCTCAAACCGCGAGCCAGAAATAGGCCTTTAAGGAGGACGATCTGATGAAGGAAGATCTAGTGATAAGTCATCCATTCTCTCGGTGGCACACGAAATACGGCAAAGTTAACATCAACGTCGAGGTCTTCTGTGGGAACTCTTCTAGAAGGCCCTGAACAAACGCCTTTCCTGTCTCTCATGCGGAGAGAAAACTTCAGTATGTAGTGCTGGCAAATGTGGGAGTTTTTGGCGACTTTCGGCTGATTCGATAACAAACGTAAGCCGTGTTGACAGGTGACGAGACATGCTTTTTAAGAATCAACGCAGGAGCAGAAAAAGAATTGCTGGAGCAGGTGTTTGAGCTTGCCTGTCTATTAGATTTTCACTATTCACGATTTCCAATAGACTTATTTAACAGCTTCATCAGAAGCGAACCTCTATGGGTTCTTCTGGTCAGTACTGGTTTCCACTCAGATGCAGTGTATTCGCGATCAAGGCCAACATTGATGTGAAAATTGGAGAGGTGACGAAAACAAAGAATATGTAGGAGAGGAAAAATTCGTAGAGATAGCATCACGTATCTCGAATGGGAGAGCTGGAGAGAAGAAAAAAATTTAAATATAGGTATATATGTTTTGGAATAGGCTAAAATTGAGATGAAGCCCCGCTTAAATATAGAGATGAAAAGAATGAGCAAAAAGGAAATGGGGTTGTGAAATGCAATCAGAACCGGGAACAGATCCGAGGAGTAGGGAAAAGTTGCGAGAAACAAGTGCTTGCCTGATCAATTCGTGCACAGCGCATTACTTTTTTCATTCAGATTTGCAAGCATTCAAAGAAGGATACAGGAGGAAATCAGAAAGGAGCACCTCTTCCTTCGAATTCAGGATTGAATCAACCGCTGTTCGCAGAAATTGAATCCGATGCTTCCAACTGATAAGTGGCGAAGCGAGAAAATCCACTGAACATCACAATGGCATTTTACATGGACAATATTAGGAGGATCCACCACGGTAGCACGGTGCACCTTTCGAGCTTGACAAGCTCAGAGTCGGGTAAGGGTCGGCGACCATTGCGATGTTCTCAAAAATGACGGTCGGCAGCCATGCGCAGGCAGAGTTAGCAGCTTCAGACTGGGAAAATAAGCGGTCTCCTTCAGCATGACGGATGACTTCATATTTTGAGGACGGTGACGCCAGTAAACATTGGTTTGCTTCCGTTTATTAAAGGGTTTATTAGGATTTTTTAGAGATTTCCATCAAAGGGCGGAAGTGGTGTAGTGGACAAGTGGCGCGCTTACCACGCGAGCGGTCCGGGGATCAAATCCTGGGTCGTGAGTCGCCCGGGCCAACCAAGCCTTCCATCCCTCCGGGGTCGGTTAATTGGTACCAGACTTGTCTGGGAGGATAAAAACACTGACTTGTACATCGGCTGGCCCCCGCAAGTCATTGTATAGGCCACATCGCATTCAAACGCCACTACGAATGTACAAATGGAAGTAGAATGCGTGCCGCATCCCAAAAAGGGATTGATCAACGGCAAATGCTTTATCCTTATTTTCCATCAGCACTCGGATAATTCGATAAGCGCGCATTAATAACCTTTCCGGACCGCCTGACACACATGGTGTGTCAGGAACTTCAAGAGCTGATTTTTCCAAGAGTTTGGTTTTTCGATAAAATATTTTATGTTGTTACATACCTATGTAACAGACTCATGCCATATGTATGAAAAAACCTAGACTTTAGGTTTAATCTAGGCTTCTAAAATAACCAAAAAGTAAATGGACTTCTACTTTGGGCTCAAAGAAAACAGTTGTAATTCGCTTGAAAACACTTCATACCGAAGAATTTATGAAATATCCTGCTCGTCGTATCTGATTCTTATGGATCCAATCGTTTTGGGCACGTTCTACTCCCTTTTTCTCCATACCAACTTATTTTGAACAATTTTCGTCCCTTCCTCCCTTTTTATGGCCCTTTCCCTTTTTTTTGCAAAACAGTTTTCTGTCAAATTAACCTTATATATTCTTCGAGACATGACAAAGACATAAACGAGACAAAATAATGGCTTTAGTGGGAATACAGATTAAAGTATATGATATTATGCTTGCTAAAAACGCAGCCTCAATTCGCCGTGTGACGCAGACAAGTTGGGGGCGCGCGGGGCTCCGGACAGGTTAACAAGGTCTTTTATCCCACCTTTCCCCGCACGCATTGCTGATGACACTGACTCTGTATGAGCAAACTGTTCACTCGGCGTCTTCACACGCAAGCCGGCGTTTTCGGACGATGGTTCCTTGAAGCACAGGGGATGGTAGATTGTAGGATGCAGGTATGATCAGTAAACCATGTTTTATTTGCGCTAAATGGCTTCAGTAGAATCAATCAAGTGGTGAAATGTATGTAGCCAAATTAATTGTTCGTTCCCCTGACCTGCGTGCGAATAAATTTTGCAGTCAGGGTTGGCGGACCCTTGTTGACTTCAAAATGGTCGTGACGATGAATATGACATCTGATTTTGATATTTAGCGCTATTTGGCACCAACCCGTGGACGCCAACCCTTATGCAAACTTCAGTCGCCACGGGTGGAGCGACATTAACAATACCGTATCTTTTTCTTTAGTAACGGTGGCTAAAATACTCGTTAAAGCGAAGATGCACAGCGCGGTTTTTGCCTGTCCGTACATTCGTCCCTACAGTACGCAAAAACACGTTTGAAAAAAGCGCGGCTCGCCCTGAAAAGACCTCAATTGTCAGTGATCGTCACTGAGTGATACCTGGTAAAGAGCAACCACCAAAAGTTTCAACCTGACGAGGAGAAAAGGGTTAACAAAGGTGAGAGCTAAAAAGTAACTCAGTTGGTTCACAAAAACAGTACAGCGCAGTCATCTAAAGCGTATTTAGTTTTTCTTATAGTAATTCCTTTTATTGACTTACCTAACACATCGATTACTGGCGGCGCCATTTCCTGCCTGAGAACAACAGTCAGCTCAGGCATGAACTATTATTATTATGACTGCAGTGTGAACAATATTATGGAGAAATGGGCAATTCCTACAGTACAGGTGCAGAAGCCAAAGTGAATCGATGATATTAGAAAAAAAATAGGAAGGAGAGAAAGCGCAAGTGACAAAGAAAGTAAGAAAAGATGAATAAGGGAAAAAGAGTCATTCTGTCCATGTAAGAACGAATGTTAACCAGTGACAGAAATATAGAAGCATAAGAACATTTGCTCACTTTAAGTTGTGGCTCACGCCCGTTCCAGTGAATTGCCATTCTGACTGATATTCCGTCAGGGAGCTTTTGTCATGAAATGTGGTGGATAGCGCTATGAGTCTGCTTTTGCTGCCAATTTATATGTCACGCGTTGATAACCTCCTTGTACGCTTTCTCATAATAAAACGTATAACAAGCGCGACTGTGCTCTTTTCCAAAGCTACGTGCATATTACTATGGAAAATGCGGTCGGTGATCATACTCCAGACTAAATCTCGCCTGAGCCGATTAGGCCTTTCTGCGAGATCGCCTAATAAGCAGCAATAGTTGCAGGAAAAATAAAAGCAATAAACCAAACATCAGCTTCACCAAGTCAATGCACACTCCAAATCAAATTCAAAAGCTCTGATTTATCCGTTGCCTATAAGAAAATTCATGGCCGTTTGCCCTTAGCTCACCTAAATTGGAAGCCTGCGTGAAATTAATCCAGATAAGGCCAACAGAACACCTCTCAAATTAAAGTGACGATCTTCCACCCAGGGAAGTAAAAACACAAAATCTATAGAAAAAGATTCGAAAGCGACTGTAAAGCGTTCCAGATCAAAGACGAGCAGAAAATTATGGCAAAAAGTGTTCGCTGGACTTCCATCCAAAGTGATATCATGTGCGACTCGTAACAATGTATCCAGCGACTTCATTTCTTGAAGCTCTCAAGAAAATAAGTGAAGAAGAATTCTACACGCCAGTGAAGCTTAGCATATGGAAGCCTTCAATCAATTGCTTGCCTTTTTACGACCGTGTGTTGGAATTGAAATGTGCTATTAGCCTGCTCCCGTGGGCTCTTTTGGTCAACAGGCGTGTTTCACCATGTTAGCACAGCACCCTCCACCGTGAGTTTTTGCGCGAAATTCCATCAACCTAAATGTAAAACGGGTTTTCGCAGGTGTTAGCTAAGAGGTTTGCTCGGTTGTGCTTCTACGCTTCCTGGCCCGAGTTGGTTGTGATTAGATTATTTGGCCAGGATTTCGAAGCTATGGCGTGACTTGAACCATGTTGGTCTTTAAGAAAGCGATGATACTCCTCTTAAAATTATGTGGCCAATAATAACATTGATCGCGCCAACAATGCATGGTAACTACGAGAAGGGGAGGGGGGGGGGCAAAAAAAGAGTCACTTTCATTCACATTCAAAGCAAAATTAATTACACTTTACCAGAACCAAACTGAATGAGCTTAATTGCGTATTGAAGAGCACATTCTATTCTATCAAAAAATTACATAGGGGCTTTCTACACCCAACGACATCAGAAGATTTTCCCACGGAAACATGGTGCACGGTACGAGCTCAACGAGGTCGTCGAGAAACCATAGACGATTACGACGTCTCTGAAACGCTGTCAAAAGCCATCTTGCATAGTCAGAGCTAGTGTCCCTAAGAAGCCATTCACCAGTTATCCGATTGAAGAAATTATGTAGCAGCTTCAGAATGGAGCGATTATGGTAGGCCTCCTTGAGCTCGACGGTGATGCAGATGACGTCATATTCTGGAGACGGTGAAGGCAGCGAAGGTGGGCCTGATTCTGCTTATGGGGGGACATCTA